CCCCAAAACCCCAAAACCCCAAAACCCCAAAACCCCTATCTTAAAAAGATTATTGCTGATATACTAAATTAACATAAATTAAAAATGAAGAAGACAAACCACTCTATGAAGCCAAAAATCAATAAAATTGAGGATCAGAGTCAAGCCCAAAGATCAGATGGCTTAGGAATACTCTTGCAGATTCAAAAGATGCTCTCTGATTACAAAATCTGTATCTTGTTTGCTATTTTCACTATGATAGTGATCACCTATGTTTTGTCGGTAGACCTTAATGGAAGAAAAAATGGCAACATAATTCATGACTCAACAGTAGAGAGAGAGAATTTAATCTCTGATGACAAAGAATGCTGCAAAGCTTCAGTGCTTAAGGTAAGCGACCAAAATTTAATATCAAAAAGCATAAAGTTTATTTCAGGTACAAACTAAATGTCTTTTAATAACTTTATTACCTGAAATAATTATCCACTTTGATATAAAGTTAAAATCGATTTTATTGGAGACGTAGAGATTTTATACTCAATGCTTTGTATCATTGGCACAGTTTTCCTCTTCTCATCCTCTTCATTTGTCGCTATTGCCAAAATTGCATGCAAAGAGTACGATGAATTATAAGTATTAAGATTCTTGAATAAATACTATCTTTTGATGGCAATTACAGTCGATTTCTTCTTTATCCATCCAAAATCAATCAAAACCATTTATTACCTGACAAGTAGAAATTGTTCATTATTTTTCAGCATTGATCTTTGTTTATAAAATATTCTTGCTTTCTGTCGGTTCAAATCGGAGGAAGATTTTAGTCAAATCATCAAAGAAAATTAGAGCATTATAATCGAAATATTCTTGAATTGATGAGCGAGTTAAATCTAGACTTAAAAGGATTAGTAATTAACTTCTTTGTTGAAATCTTTTTGCTAAAGAGAAACAAATTATATGTGGCATTATAAAGTTTTACGCGTCTCTTTAAAGTATCAGTATGATAATATTTTTAATTTATTAACCACTTTTGCACTCAAGATGCGAATGCTCATAAATTATCTATTTTTAATGTTTTAAATTTCACCTAACTTTGCCTTAAAGTTCAATTTGGTGCAATTGGTTATTTTTCGAATGACCTAAAAAGTTTCATTACCTGAAAATTTATAGTCTTCTTGTGAAGTTGTTGGAACATATTCACAATTAATTCATCACAATTTTCAATTATCCATCCAAATTCATGGATCATTAACGTATTCTTATTTTTCAACACAAATGAATTGGATAGTTTAGCAGACAGGCAGGTTATTCTTAGCCTTTGTTAAGCTTTTGAGAGTAAAGTTTGTGCTTATCAATTAGGATTAATTAAAAATTTACTCTAAAAGGGCTCACTACAGTAAATTTCCCCTCAAAACATACATCTATCATTAGTTTTTGGCCTTAGCTGTTATTAGATTCCTCAAAGGGTAATTTAAGCCCTGAAGATACATACAGGTATTAATGATGATTATAGCTTACAAAGGGGCTGGCCTAGCTCAAATACTTTTATAATTCTTCATTTTATTTAGCTTAAGTTTTATTAAGCCATCGAACAATTAAGACATCTGGAGTTTTATAAATTGTAAAGTAAACTTTCTACTCTTTTAATTAGTTATTAAAGCTTTCAAAGGAAATAAAGGAGTTCAGCTTTGCTAGGAACTCAAAGTTTTTATTCATCTGATGCATTTGTCCCCCTGAGCTTGCTATTCGTCTATAACAAACTTTTTTGTTTGGATCCATTTTGGCTACCTATCTAATAAAACTATTGAAAGCTAATTTTCTCTAAAGATAGTCTCTATTAATCAGAAAATTGTCCAAATTTATCCATTTGAATTCGGAATGTCTCTTCATTCCATGAATTAATCTGGATCAGCTTAAGAAGATTGATGACATCGATAGCTCTATTCTTAACAGAATGCTACTATTGTTTAATTATGCTTGCCCTCTGAGCTTTGCTAGCATCTTTAATTATTAATTTTCCATAACTTTTCAAGTAACTTTACCAGAAATAACTCGTATCATATAGGAAGCAAGCCTTGGAATAACAATCTTCCAACAGATTTCCAAACTCTCAATCCTCTGAAGCATCTGCTTCGTGATGTTTTATTTGAGCTGAAATAAACCAAGGTAAGAATACGGATTCTCTATCATTGGTTTGAGTTTATTTAATTAATTACTTTATTGCCTCCAAGAAGCTCGAGGAAATTATAAACTTTGCAAAATCTTCAATAATACTAAATCATTTGGATTTTATGACTTAAGAAGCCCTAATTTAGCAAAATAGGAGTCTAAAATCTTCTTTGTAATCAGAATTGGCTTAATTTTAGTCCAAACTGTACGAATCTAAACTTTGAATATCTGCTAAACCTTTTTCTGCTCTTGAGGATATTATTTTAAGTTAAGTTAATGAATAACTCGATCTTGATCACTCAAGACCACTATTTAGAATGAGCCTAGACTTATCCACAATTAGGAAAAGTTTGGACATTATTGTGGATTTTCAATAATTTGACATATCTCTCTATTTTTCGGTGTCCAACATCTTTATTCTCCAATTTTACTCCTTTTTACATTGAGAAGTTCCTTTATATCATCTGTTAACTGATAGACACCTTCAATTTGAGAATTCCTATCTCTAACAGCGATGTTATAGAAAGGATCTCTTTGTTTATGCCTACTAGCTCTGATAAAGTCCCTAGCATTACCATTGGCTAGCATAAAGAATAAGGTTGTAACTTATTTTAAATGGAGTTTAGAACAAAAATTAGGTAAAGTTCCTTAGCTCGAGAGATAATGTGTATAAAATTCCTTGATTTTTTATTTTTAAGCCATATCTTGCCTTTTTGAAGCTATTAAAGAGCTTTAAGAATATAATTTTCTCTCTTTTCATAAACTCCTAGCTAATGACTTGTACTTTGTTTCAAATTTATTAAAAATCTTCCCTCTTTCATGCTAGTATTAAATTTTTTGATAAAATTTGGTATTTAAAGGTAAAAAACCTAACTGGGGTTCTTTCTTACAATACCAGATGGTTCAGAAGGCCAGAAAATATTATCTTAGTTGATATTAAAAGCGTAGGATGTTATTACAGAAGTGAATGATAGAGAGCTGGGTTTTCCCAGATCTGGGTTTATTCTCAGCATTTTTTCATCTTCTATTAAGCTTACTACAAAACAATAAGAGAATGTTTTAGGAATAATAATAGACAGTTTCAGTTATTATTAATTTCAGGTGCTATATATTAAAAAGAACTAATTATAAAGCCTTCGTCTTCTGAGAATTATAAAAGATAGTCTCACAGTTAATCTAACGTTCATGCTGACTTTTGGCTTATAGTCACAAAGAGAAGACTAGAGAAAATCTGGAAAAAGAAGTTAACGTAAGTTTATTTCGGTTAATAGACCTATTAACTTGCCATAGGACGTAAACAGCTTCATTCAGGAGGAAGGATCTCAACCTACAACTAAAAAGAATAAAAGTAAGAAAAACGTCCAAGTTATAATTTACCGTAAGTTTCACCGAATTTTAGGAGTTTGCCTTCATGAATAGTAATCAAGCTATTAGATTTTACTTAATTTATCCCATAGTCAATGTAAACAACGACGAAAATAAGCTAATGCATAAAAGAAGTGATAGCACTAGAGAAGATGAGGTAGACCAAGGAGGCAATAACTGAGGACCTTCAGTAAACCTTCGATCTACAACTCTTACATCTTATGGAGATGACTGTGAAGAGGAAACATTGCAAATTGCAGAAGAGAGCCATATCCCAATCCAGGCTTTGGTATACAATCCTAAACTTTCCTTTGAAGCTAGAAAGAAATCAATCCAGAGGACCAGCCAGTATTTTAGGGAAAAGAGTAAGCTAACTTTTAAAGAAGCATATAGTTATATTTTCTCCACTGCCTTCCAATTAATGGGAAAAACCTTTGCTATCCTCTACACAGTAAATAACAAGAGCGTAAATATTTTTATAATTCTACTAGTTTTTTTCAAACTTTAAAAAGGTGAAATCGTGCTGTTTTTAATTAAATCTAGTAGTATTTTACTAATGATTTCTAATAGCTCCTTCAACAGGTACTGAAGAAGACTCTGATTGCTGTAAAGAGTTTGAAGACGAGCAAGACTCAGTGAATAAATTGTACATCACTAAAGATCTTAAAAAGCCTCAGAACAGTTGCCTCAAACCTTCTGAAAAACATCAAACAAGACAAATGTATCCCAGTACACTTTCTTCGTTTTCTGATTGAAGCATGAAGTTGAATAATGAGGCTCAGAAAGAAGCATTTTTGCCTAAATACTTCAGAACTTGTGGGTGCTCTTCAGTTCTCATCGTTGACGACTCTCCTTTCAACTTACTGATACTGAAAGAAATCTTCAAATAAAGTTTTAGAATCTCAAAACAAGGGTAAGGGTAAAGATTCACCACAGATTAAAATCGATGAAGCCTCGAATGGGCTTAGAGCTCTGGATATGGTAAAGGAGTCACAAAGCAAGACTTGATGAAATGGATACGAGGTTGTCCTCATGGACCTTAGTATGCCAGTTATGGATGGAGCAACGTCTGCTTGAAAAATAGCACGACTTCAACAACAAGGCCTTGTTTACCAAGGACTAAGAGTTGTACCTTTAACAGCCTATGACTCTACTGAGTATAAAGAATTATGTAAAAAAGCAGGAATGAGTGGGTTTTTGAATAAACCCATATGCCAGAAATCCATCTCAAATGTATTCACCTGTTAATTATATTTATATAACTTTAATACCTTATGCCAACCATGTCATCACTTAATGGGGTTTTGGGGTTTTGGGGTTTTGGGGTTTGGGGTTTTGGGG